TGTATTGTTGGAAAAAATAATCCTTTTGTCCGACCTTTTCTCCCAGAAAGGTTTGTTTGCCTTGCATCTTCAAAAAGAAAGCTTGATGTTGTCCACGATACAATTGTATGCGTACTAATTTTAAAGCACTACCGCTCGCCTTAATACCTCCAACGTAGACCCATTTAATAGGGGCTGACTAATAAATCCAATTTAAATATGGCCTGGACCTCCGTTGATATAACATATGTAAATTCATACATCTTTATCTTGGGAATCGCAAAAACGCCGATCGATATAACGGACATCTAAAAAGACAAAAACAAGGCAGTCCAGTTGCAAATTCAGAACGGGTGGCCGCCGTCCGCGATATCATTATTCTAAATACTAAATTAACTTTATTCCCATAATTTAAATAGCAACTTGTACTCATCTGAATAAATTATCCGATGCAACCTGAATTTTTTTTCTATTTTTATCCTCTAATGGACGAATGATGTCAATTGCTGAATTTATACGTTCGTTTGACGAATTCAATTTATTGGAATGGGTCTCGGCTTGCATTTGTTGAGGCTTTTTCTTTCTCACGATTAGTAAAAGGATAATTATGTTGCAGGGCGTGCCATCAAAATAGATATTAAGCAATTATTTTTGTTACTTTATAATTCACGATAATTGTGTTAGTTCTGCCAACGCCCAGAGATAATTGGCTTTTATTGTAAAATAAGGCATTCGAAGGTTGGTCAAGTCCTTTGTTTTACTAATTACATGCAATCTTGCTTAATGTTAAATTGACTGTGGTTTTCATATCGTTTATTTATAATTAACATTATCATACTAATAGCTAAAAATTGAATACATAATTTAACCAACTTTCATTTAATTAGTAAACCTGGGATAAAATTAGGTACGAGTATCAAAACCAATATTGAGGTTATAACTCCTGGACAGGATCAAGATTGAGTGTTCCGCTTGCAAATGCGATGCTTCGATATTCGCTTAATGAAGACATATTGAATCGCTAAGCGGCAAAAGACAAGATATAGACAATGTTTTAAATTGACATGCGGCTCTTTTATTCTTCATTCGTCCATTTTGTAGAAGATAAAAAGTTAAAATAATACAATGATAATTTAAATCGATTTTATAATGATTAAATCATTTTAAAAACAAAATGTAGGTACCTTAGAACAACATTCGTAATAGAATCAAATAAATATAATGTCAATTAAAAAGTTATCAAAGGGACAAACCCATGTCAATTAGTTGTATACATTCGAAAGCAAAAACAAATCGTCGCGCGAGTTAATATTTTATTTAGGGTTCGGAGTGGAATCGTAGCAAAGTTAACTTGGATTTTTAAAACTTTATAAAAGTTTAGCTGTTGTTTCCCTCTGGCCGTCTGGTCTCGCACCTGATAAAGTAATTTGACGATTCCCTAATTCACACTTTTGAAGAGGGTTTAAAAATCAAAAAGGTTCTGCTCTCGAACAGTTTCTCTTCGTTAATTGAGATTGAGTAAAATGTTTTATATGACCTGCATTTTTAATAAAGGCTAACGTTTCACTCTAGCAATCGGTCAAATTTTTCTATTTTAAATTTGATTAGCTATAATTAGTTATAGAATAATAATATCAGTATAATATTGAATCGAATGCCCACAAACATTTTTACAAAGGGGGCCTACCATTGTTACGTATAACAAAAAATAAGTACCTCAGGCCTCTTACGTTCAAAATAAGAACAAACGTGTCATCGACGAAATGACGCGTGTCGACCAATCGGGCGCGAAGGCCGCAGACGTCGATGACGTCACGTTGCCACCGACCAATAGGATCGGCCTGTCGCCTCCGGTCAACTTGCACTAATTGCTCATGTGTGCGATAACACTAGGCTTGAGAAGAATCTGTGCGCTTAAGTGCGCACACGCATGTGTTAAACTATTGCATACAACTCTACAATGTTAACAGTAATCTTAAGGTTTTGTACAATTTTATGAACAAGCTGATTTCTTATTTAATTTAGCTCTTAGCTACTATAATTTTATTAAATATATTTTAATTGAAGACACGAAAACCACTGTTATTTTGTCAAAAATTACCATATTTCTCACCCATCCAAAACAATAATAGATATGTCGTATGACCATTCTTTAGAAACTAAAGTAAAGCATGAGAATGTTTCGGACATGCATTTGAATAAAATACGTAATTAAATTAAAGTAGCACTTGGGCAGTGGGAACCCGGCAAACAATAACAAGACAAGCCGTTTCATTAATGCAACATTTTTTTTAGATATTTAGCTGTAATTAGTGTAAATATTTTTGCCGTTTCTTGAAAATAAAATTAAATTGTGCTAATATAATTTGAAAAAATATTTAATGTCACGATTCAATTAAGTTCTTCATTTATAATTAAACTTTAACAGTAGAATTATACTTACAATGAATGTAAGTATGACTATCTACTTTAGTAATATAACTAGTTACTGACAATGCGATAGTAATATTTTCACATTACGCATTTTTTTGTTATTCTACGTTATAATTTACAATTATATGATTTTAGTTGGAAGATTTTAATATTTTTAATTGTAATAAAAAGGCAATAAATTGTAGGATTTTAAGTGGCTAATTTTATTTAACAGTCTTATAGACTGCTATATATAGCCTAATCTAGCTTGCTCTGATATTAATCATAATAAAATAAGTTTAACTTTATAATATAATAGAGACTCACCCTCGCTCCGCTCGGGTTCTTCCCTGCTTACGTTTTAACGTGTAGTATAGATATCTCAGAGATGAGATATTCTCCAGCAGTAAAAAGTATCCTTCCTATATAGGAAGGATACTTACACCATATGTTGACCCGGATAACCAGCTATCATGATCAAATAACCAAATTTCATCAAAATCCCTCCAGTGGATTTTCCGTGATGCGATAACAGACAGACAGGCAGACAGACAAAAAATCTAAAAACTATAGATTCGGCCTCTATATCGATAATAATGTCTATCTATTTCAATAAGATTTTCCAAAAAAAATTATGTACAGATTCGGCTTAGTTACAATTTTATTATATGTACCTATACACTAGCGACTTACCCTCGCTTCGCTCGGGAGCGTGCGCTAGGTATGCGGATTTTTGTCATGATTTCATGTGTTTTAATTTGTTTCAGCGAAACTCTAATTCTTTTACCAAAATAAAAGTAGTCTAAATTACTCCTTATAACATCGGCTGTGAAAGTACCGTCAAAATTAGTCTAGCCGTTTCGGAGATAAGTCGGAACAAACAAACAGACAGACACACAAAAATTGTAAAAATTGTTTTTTTCTCATAAGTAGGTGCCATATATTATAATTTTATAGGCATAAATGCTTATAAGATTATATAGCAAAATTCTGTTACTTTGACATTACAAACAGACAATTAAATTTAATATAGGTACCTGTATAAATTCATATTTTTACGAATGCTTTAAGACTTCATATATATATGTACCTAACTAATTAATATATTAGTCCTGTTATATTATATACCAAGTATGTGATGAAGTACCTACAATTTGACTTATAATATTTCTTAATTAAGAATAGTTAGACATTATAAGTATTTTTCTTTTGATAAAATATTAAGATTTTATCCAAGGGAAAATTATTTTTATACATATTATTATTCTATTTATGAAATATTTTAGGTAATTTAGAAAAATTAGGAACGATAACACAGATATCTTTTTATTTGAATAAAAATAATGCTGCTTAATCGTTTAGAGAAAGTATGTATTTAATATATTTTATATTTTATTTTTGATCTAGGTTATTACTCTAACAACAACTACCTACTACATTTTTCATATAAAGAAAAAAGAGAGTGCAATAATATTTTTTTTCTTTATTCTTTAAGTTAAGAATGTTAAGAATATCAAACAAAAGAAAATAATCATGTACTTATACCAGCTACCCATGCCATTACATTTAGATAATTCATTTTCTATAAAAATATTTTTTTTAATATCTAAAAAAATTTTTAACTAAATATAATGGTTGGGTTCACTTTTAACCTTCTTTAATTTAGAATCAAAATAAAAATAAAAATTAAAGTTTAGGAAGATGCTTAATGACTTTTTGAATATGAGATATAGTTATTTATTGTGGATAATATTTTTATCTTAAGAAAATACAATTTAAATAAAACAAATAGGAATCTTTGAAACATTTTACCGCAGTGACTTAACATGCATTTATATTTATAATAAATAATTTATGTAAATATATCTAACTGTAATGTAGAGCCAACGTAGAACAAAATATCTTTATGGATTAAAAGACGGTTTCCAAGAAATGAAGTGTTAATACACACTATTATTTTTAATACAATTTTTTTCGAAAATTTCAGAATTTCGAAATTCGAAATTTGTGTTAGTGATATTTTATAACTTTATGAGATGTTATTCTTACTTAAATATTAATTCTTTCTTTGACTATGGATTTTTTATTGACGCTTAGTATATTTAATTTTCATATATTATGATTAATTTTACAATATTGTAAAATTCTTAGCGAATACTGGAAGAAGTATGTAGGCTAGTCGAAATTTAAAGATATAAAATAATTTCATATCATGACGCTTTTTTTTCAATTTATACACATTTGTTGCAACATAAAAGGTCTTTCTTACAGACTCCTTTCGGACGCTGGATGACCAAGCGTGCAAATATTGACACTCGCCAGAGCTATTAAGTAGCTGTGAATAGCGTCCCCGTCAGTGCGATGTGGTGTACGTACGACTAAAGATACAATTCCTTGCTGATGTCGAGATTCTATACGTGTTTTACTTCATATATTTGATTTTAATTAATTTTTTTTTGTATATAAAAGTTGCCAAAGTAAAAAATTTTGGTGATACTCTAGAAAATTTTTAAGGACTCTAGATTTAAAAAATTTAAGCCATGTATGAATGTTTCTATTGTTTTTACTACTGATTTTAAATGTTATGAAAAAATAATTTTGACATTTACCTTGCGCGATGCGTACAGCTGGCATCTTGATTCTCATCTTGATTTGGTCACCTATTTTTAGGTCTTCAATAACTTCTTTTATCCGCAGAAATTTTTATCTTAATATCTCGCTATCTGTATGTTAGCGCACTTCACATGTGCCGCCGTCGGTCCGGCAACTTATCGTCCTATTCTCAAAACAGTCTCGATAAGAAAGGTCGAGATGTCATACTAATCCTGAAAAGTCCGACGGTATTTACACAAAAAGATAGTGTTAGTCATCTTCTTAATTTTTTCATCATGAAAAAATTAAATCATAAACATTTCTACTCTTACTTTTTTCTTTTCATAGTGTATGAATCAGTTCACAATTTCCAATGTTTACTTGCCAAATTCGATAGTCCGTAAGTTCTTATCAACACTTGAATGAACGTCTCTGCGCTATCTAATCTATCCACAGCAAGCGATGATCTTATTCGGCAAATTAATCATACGTTAACACTGCAACAAATTCAAAATTACTATTTCACTCGTCCATAAATTTTACCACTGTCTCTACAAATATTAAAACAAGCAGCAAGTCCAAATTCAGTTTAAAACAAAATTTTCAGTGCGAAAACAATAAGAAAATTTTATTGTAACATAGACTCTATGTTGTTTATCGTCGCGATGTAGTATGTCGCGTGCGGAACGGTGCGAGGCAGGTGCGGCCGGCCGCCCGCTCTCGCCCGATGTCCGAGACAGTCTGTCCTGTGTCCCTTAGCGAGGGCTCCGCGGCCTCGTGTCGGCGTGTCCAACTCTCGCCGTCTCTCTCGGCCGGCCGACGGCGCGTGCGAGTCCGTACAAGTAGCCAGGGGTTACTCGCGGTCGCCGTGTCCTCGGCTGTTAGAAAGAGACGCCGCGATACCCTCTGAGAGCGAAATGCGTGGGAGTGAACGGGATAGCCATAAATCAAGAGTGCCGTGCGTCGGTGTGCGTGCGCGGGTGGGGCGAAGATGCACGTACAAAAGAAAAGGGATAATATTTGCTTGCATATTTCATGACTCGATTAGGAGATGGAATTTTTAATTGAATGGACCGTCGCACGGTCAGTCTACGATGAACGCTTTTAAAAAGAGACAAGTTATGAAAAGGATTATGACAAGTTTCAGGTAAAACAAATGTGAACTCTATGACGTAGGAGTTTAAATCTCACAATCATTGTATAGTAAGAGGTAGAGAATTATGGGATGCTTTTATAGACAAGTATTTTTTGTATATATCATGAAATGAATATAAAGTACATACACAATGTTATAATGTAAATTTTTTATGAGGACAAATTTTAAAATTGTTGGCAATTTTCACTTTAAATTATTTCTTCGTAGCACATTGCTACGATTGCTACGAAAATTCTATATTGAATTGATTTATTTTCAGAATTATATAAAATTATTTTTAATAAATTGTAGTTTATTTATTTCTAGAATCGACTGATTGCTAAGTTATTTATTCTAAATATATTCGCAATCACAAGAATCAAGCAACATTTTACGCATAAACATTAAAGTATAAGTAGTTACATCGCTAAAAGCAACACGTAGTTTCATTTCACTCTCACTCTCAACTTTCTGAGCGCATTTTTTACCGCGTTATTTTACTTAAGACGAGGAACTTATCTCGGTCCTTGACTTTAATAAGTTTTATGACAGAGACTGGCGCGAACGGGCGACGAAAAAGAACTTCTTTATAATTGTTTCCGAACTGACTTCACCGAGTTGTGAAATGGCGTTCGATTATTGAAATTTTAAACTTTGAAGTTTTGTTTTCAGACATTGTGGTTTGTTTTTAATTTAGATTTCTTTTACGGGCTATTTTTATATCAATACCACTTTTCACTATTTTATTTTATTTATCTATTGTATTGAATATAAATAATGTAGTATTGTGGCAAGATAATTTAAATCATTTGATTTTATCTTTACCTATATACTAAATCTTTAGCGTTTATTTTATTGTTAAATAAAAATAGTATTTTTTTATATTATGAGATTAATATTAAATACTTATAATATAAACTTATATACTTTTTTTTATTTTATCTACTAAGGCGCCTATACGCACAATTTTTTTGGTCAACTTATCAAATTATATTAATAAATTTTATTTAAAATTTTCTGCTCTAAGTTTTCGTAGTAGGCTGGACAACTACGGTCATTTGATGTCCATTGAAAGGCTTGAAATATTTCTGTCTCTTTTTATAGGTAACGGTTTTTGGCTGAAAATAGAGATGGATAGGGGTGTCGTTTTCTCGAGAGAAAATTTTAGTAATAGTCAATGTATGCTCATCTCCTTCATATGTAGGGATATGTGAGGGATGCGAGAGGGATGGTTAGTGATGTATGAAAACATGTGTGTTAGAAGACGCTACTCGACGCTAGACGGCGTGGAAAGCGAGGGCGCTAAACGAACCCTCTCGGAGGTTCGTTACCTAGTCTGATCTGCTAAGCTCGGCTTAATTTTCAATATTATAACAATACTACCTATAAAAAATTAGAAATATTGCTTCTTTAATTATAGTGATTAAATTCGAAATACAAGAATTATTTGTATATGTAGTGAAAGTTTTCAGTTAATCATAATTTATTTTAATTCATGAAAAACGTAAGCAACTCAAAAAATGATATGATAGCAAACAATATGCAAATGTATAGAACGTTTTATATATTTTTCAGAGTAGGTATATATGTATATTCCATATGTTTTCCATTACATTTTCTTTAGGTAGGGATAACCCTTACATTACTTATTGGTTTAATTGATTTTTTTAATAATTTTGATTATTGTACACTTTAATAATGAATTAGTCTATTAATCTGTATGTGCAAACTATTGAAATATTAGAAATGTTGAATTCAAACATTAAAGAGTATACACGCAGTAGAAAAATATGGTAAAAATGGAAAGAAACCTCCATAACATAACTTAATAATTTATTCCATGTTTACCTAATATTATATTTTTGATAAAGAATTTAGTTTTTTTCTTTCTTTTATTGATTAAAAAAAACTTTTTTTATATTCATGGCAAATAACTTCAAGAAAAATTACCTACTTTATGAACTACTTTTTTCTTATTTCCTTAATTGATGTCTATGGAATTTCCTATATTATTACATAAGTTTATATAAAGAAATACAAAAGGACACGCATTGTATTAGATAAATCCATCCATTATCACCAATAATTTGTCGAAAATCCTCACTGCACTAAAATAAATGATATAGACGAGACGTTCAATTCTTTTTAACTAAATAAGAAGTATATTTTGGAACTAACTTTAAAATCTCTTTAATAATAGGTAGGTTTCTTGAAATTTATTTGACTATCCTTCAGATAATCTATTGTTTAAAAGAAAAACATACCTTTGAAATGAAAAGATAGCTCTGATTTTTAAGCACTTATATGTCAAAAACTTTTTAGTACATACTTAGCTTCTAACATATAAATTATAACTGGTAAAGAAGTCCTTTAACCTGATTATAAATCATTTTAAAATAATAAAGAAAATATGTGTTATATCTATAATTGAATGTCGCGACGGATATTTTTTGTGTAGTGACAGATGTGCAACGGGATATACAAAATCACTCGTATTGATACATGAAACGTTGTCGCTAGAAAGTATCGGGTTTGTAGTATTTTTTATAATTTCCTTTCATTAGTAAGAATTTATAATATTTTTAAGAAATACGCAACTATAGTTCGTGCCAAGTTTAGTTTAAAATAATAAATCTGTACTGAGTAGTCGTATTAAAGTATGAACAATCGACAAATAATGTCCATCAAGTATAAACTCATAACTATGTATATGGTAAATAAAGGGTAATTACGTTTATCCATAGTAGGTAGATATGGTTAACATACGAAGTACCTACGCCTATGTAATAGTAATAAAGACTCACATAACTTGGTTTTTAAGTTTATCACGTATATTGTAAGCATTTTTACTTAAATGAAGTTATTATATTTATTTGGGAAGTAGACGTGGTGCTGATATCGGCCTTTGCTACATCGACCAGTTGTGATTTTTGTAGCTCCATTGTACGTAAAAGAGTTCTCCACATTGTCATGTAGATAAAGTTACTCGTATTTCAATACTTTTTATTTTTATTTACCTACCTTATCATTATACCCGGGTATATGTAATCGTTTGCAGGCATTTTAATTTTAAATAAATAAATATTGTCATAAAAATTTACTTTCGCATCTTCTTCTCAAGTCTGAAGCATTCTCTTTAAACTGGAATCAATTACAATAACGTGGGTCAAAAATACAGCAAAACGCTAAAATGCTAACTATTGTACATAAAAAAACAAAGAGAGTGGAGTCGCGGGCATATGTTACTTTACCAATATAATAAAAATAACAAAATAATTTAACTTTATACGTCACTACAAAGGTACTTAATACGGTAATAAGTAGTAACTAATACGGTAAGGTATTAAATAATATCAATAATGTCTAGTCTATATATATATATATATATATATATATATATATATATATATATATATATATATATATATATATCATATTAACTTTCTTAGATTTGCGCGATTTATTTAAAATAATAAAACAGTAGAGTAGTTAAAGCAAATGTATCTTTGCCTCTACACCCCGATTAGAAAGGCTACAATCTTAAAATAGACTGAAACTTACGCAAGTCCCTCTTCAAGGACACACATGTGTCCGACCGAAACTAATGTTGTTCAATTCTGTTACGATATATTACCTTTCACACTCATTTATACTTATTTCTACATCTCAGTTTTAGTAAAAAAAACTCATGTTAGGGTAGTCCCTTTGAATTTATAGAAAGACTAGCGATTCACCCTCGTTTTGCTCGCGTTCGTCCCTAGGTACGTTTTAACGGTTAGTATGATATAGATGGACTATAATATATTATGTGATATATAGCCTAAAGACTTTCTCAATAAACGTGATATTTAATGAAAAAGAATTTTTCAAATAGTATTAGTAGTTCCTGAGGTTAGCGAGTTCAAACAAACAACCTCTGGTTTATAATATTAGTATAGATATTATTGGATAGCCTTTGTAATACATTTAATTTCAGAATTCAGAGCATTTTCTGAATTTCCACGTAAATGCATAATGTTTTTCAGATAGAACATTTCTTCTACTACTTGCAATAAACTCTTCTGCCAAGAATATCCCACGTTATTTAAATAACTTGTATTTAGCAGACTAAAATATTAAAAATAAAACCTAGGTACAAATACATAACCTAGGTTCTTTTGTTTTATATTGTAATACATTAAGTTATTATCTTCTTAATAAATCAACTAGACACTCTTATCTATACTAATATTATAAAAAAGCAGAGTTTGTTTGTTTGTTTGTTTGTTTGTTTGAACGCGCTAATCTCCGGAACTACTAATCCGATTTGAAATAACCTTTATAAGTAATGACAATTTCATTATAAGATGATATTCTTGTATAAAATACGTTTATATTTTTTGCTTGCCATTGAGTCTCTACTTATTTACTTTTATATAGGTACATACTCTTAATTTATCTCAGTCAGACTAAGGGCAGGTATCACTATGGGCAGTAGCCGATGCCAAAATAAACACTTACTTTTAATAATAATATAGCTTGGTCTATGACAAAAATAAATCGAAAACTTTGGGGTGGGTCGCCTTTAGTGGTAAAATTAGAACGGTCATAATTCGAAGGACTGCGGCCGTTTTATGTTGCTATGAAGATAATCTAAGTAGAAGCATCTGTGGACCGTTTGAATGTTAATGATTTAAAGACATAAATTATTATTAGATGAAAACGAAATTTAAAACTAGCTATACATTTTTTATTTATTTTGCCATTAAGTAAAATATTTTACCTAGCCTTTTAAGTAAATAAGTTTATTTTGAAATGAAGTTTTTATCTCCTTTTTTGTTATCAATTTAATGAATACCGTAGAGGCCATGTAGTTTTTATATTCTAACAATAATCTACCTAAAAGAAACCATATTACTTTGTTATTATATAATAATATTCATAACT